CACGAGGACCTTCGCAAGCTGGTGTTCGACGAGGATGAGGTGTCCCTCACCATCCGCAACGTCGCCTACGGCGTTCCCCTTGGCTTTGAGCCAGACCTCGCCTGGGAGGACCCGCGCTTCAAGGACGCCCGCATTGCATGCAATGCCGAGATGATGCGTCGCTGCAAGGCTCTCTGCACGGCCAAGACGCGCACTGCCCTCACTGAGAATCCAGGCGGGCACATCCCGTACGTCATGAGGTCCCAGGCCCGCCGGAACTTCCAGAAGATCGCGCCACTGGTCCCCATGGATGCCGACACATACAACTTCAATGTTTTTCTCACATGGCTCACCCGGAACTCCCCATACACGATGAAGAAGGACGCCCTCCCAGACATGATCTCCAAGGTCGCAGCCAGCATGGTCGACGACGGCCAGGCCATCATCGAGGCTCAAGAGGGCTCGCAAGAGGCCGCCCTCCTGCCTGCCGCGTCCATCCGCGCCCTCGCGCGGCCCCCCGGTCCCGCGGCCCCGGGCCCCGCCGCCGCGGCTGCCCAAGACGCCGCGGCGGCAGGCGCTGTCAGCATCACCCTGGAGGACCCGCAGAACTACTCTTTCACGAAGCCCCACGACGCCCGCCAACCCAAGTCCCTCGACTGGGCCTTGGAGGACACTGACGTCACGCCCGACGACACCCAGGAGCTCCGCAACAAGTTCAAGGCTTACCACACTGCCCTCAAGGCGTTCGCCCCCAAATCCACGGGCGGCCGCACCAAGACTCCGGGCAGAGCCAATCAACAAGCCAGCGCAGCCTTCAAGAAGGCGTCGAGACTATGGGGGTCAAGTTCGACGTCACCCGCCTCACGGACGTCGTCAAGCTTGTCGCGGCCGTCCGGGCCCGCAGCGACGAGCTCGGCCATTGACTGACTACGGCCGCTCTCAGCGGCCGTCCATCCAGCGGCATCTGGGACGTGCATTATGACGGGATGCCATGTGTCTCCCGGGCCCCGCACATTCGCCTGGTTGTCTCCACCCTCATCGGCCTCATTCAAGACTACCTGTACGTGCTCTACTCTGACACGGGACCCCCCAAGTGGGGCAGCATCTTTGCGCTGCAAAGCGCCGGTTTTGGTCTTGCTGCCCATTTCCTCATGGCCTCCACGTTCAAGCGCCACGCCCGGCTCCGCATCCTTGCAACCACCCTCCCGCGGTCCACGTGGCCGCCCTCCGAGTCCTTGCTCGACGCATCGTTCGTCGTCTACATTATGTGGAGCCCGTGGCGCCCGTACTTCTACGCCGGCAAGACGGTCACCTTCCGCGAACGCCTCCGCAAGCACATCTACGCTTTCCTCAACACGTCCTGCGACTCCCAACAGCCATACATGGAGGTGCTTCGCCGGCAAGCCAGGGGAGATGCCGCCCGTGCTGCCTCGGCATGGTTCTACCTCCCCATCGCCTGCTTGCCCAGCGACGCGGAAGCCTTCACCCTCGAGCAGCACGTCATCGCCTCCGAGCACCCGCGGCTCAACGTGCCCTACGTCCACCGTTTTGCCTTGCCAGGCAATGGGCCACACCCGGCCCGCGGAAGGTTGTGCCTCACGGCTGCGGCTCCGACACCACTGGCGAGGATCTCCCAGTCCCGTCGGCGCGGACAGGCCATGACCTCGCGCGAACCATCCGCGTCGGCATGCCTCCTCGCCTTGTCCGGCCCACCATCCACGCCAATCACTCGCTGGGCCCACATCGCATGCAACACCTTGGCGGGCGTCGACGTCCGCCCTGGCCACGCTGATTTGTACCGGCTCACGGCAGAGGAGTGGCACGCAGTCTGGCACCGCGTCCACAAGCGGCATGAGGGCACCACCCGCGCCATCGGGCTCAAGGCCCTCGAGTCCGTTCGCCGCTTCCGTCGCTGGCCCCGGCCGCGCCTCCACGCGCAGGGCTGCACTCCCATGGCTGCCGCACTCTGGCACCAAACGCGCGTTCCAGGGCATCATCCACCGCCTCATCCAACATGCCCGGGAACGTGGCCAGACCTTGCTGCTGCCGGCCATTCGCGACCTCAAGGTCATGCTTTCGCCAGTGGCCGTCATTACGCTCCGGGCCGGCTTGCGTAATGCCCCCAGCTTCTACCGCCGTCATGGCGATAGTGGGCCATGGCCGTGCGCATGCCACATGCATCCGGACCTCCCCCGCTGCCCGTCCCCTGACGGTGAGTGCCACATATTCGCCCCACAGGACACATGGCCCTGGCCCGCTCACCTCTCGCACCTGCGCACCCTGCCAGCGCACACAGCACTCGTGCCATCCCAGGCGCGGTACACTTCCGCATGCCGCCGCCTGCTCCGGCGCATCGTGGCTGCGCTACGGTTCGACTGTTCGGCGGCCTTCATCGACTGCTGCGTCCACGACGTGGTATCCAGCATCGCCTTCGACTTCGACGCGCCGCACCTCCCGTTGGACTCCGACCCCGTACCGGAGTCGGTCATTCGCGCTGGCCGGTCACTCACACGCGGCCTCGTCGTCGAAGAATTTCAGAAGACCAAGCACGTGCTCGTAGCTGAGTGTCCCCGCCGAGTGCAGTTGCTCTGCACGGCCCTGTTCGGCATCACGGGGCAGAACCCGCACTTCGTGTACCACCCGGGCTTGACAGCCGAAGCCGTACTCCAGCAGGTGGCCTCCGTCCCTGGCCTCGGGGCCGATCTTCAACCCGCTCGCCTGTCTAACCCTCGCAATTGGCGCATGGCGTCGGCGTCGGCCCCAAACAAGAAACGAGAAAAACCAGACAGCCGACGACCGCTCGTGGACCGTTCGCACTGGCCGACACAGGGCCTCGAGTCGCCAGCAGCACGAGCAATCGATTGGATCAGCGGCACAGGCATCCCTGAGCACCTCCACATCGACGCGCAGCGCACCGACTCGCTGCTGCCGTTGCTCGAGCGCTTCAGCGAACTGGCCCCCCACGGGCCCGTGCAGAAGTACGGGAGCGACCTCACCGACTGCTTCACGAACATCCCACACTGCCTTGTACGCCGGGCTTGGGCCTTCTACCAGGAGGTCCTGGCTGCACGGGACATCTCGGCCATCGCCGCCCCGCGCCGGCGCGGAGTCGCACGAACCCTGCCGCTCGAGCCGCCCAGGGCCTCGCCCCTCCACGTGGTCTTCTGGCCAGCGGACCTCACCGCTGCCATCGAGCACAGCCTCGCGAACCTCTGGCTCGCGGTGGGCACGCTCGTCGGTCGAGCCACCGACGGACTCGCAATGGGCAGCTCTTTGGCCGGAGCCCTCACCCGTATGGTGCTTATCTACTGCGACGTCGTGTTCCACGCCTCCCTCTACAGTGGGCGCGGCCTCCCGCCGCCTGCTCGCTCCAGAATCCGGTATTACGTCGTCGAGGGTGTCCGCATCCTCATCCTCGAGTCCCGGTACATGGACGACTGCATATGCCTATGGAAGGCCTCGGTCGACACGCCACCTGCGTCTCTCCGTCGCGTAGCGGATCACATTGCTTCCTGGCCGTCTTTACGCTACCCGCTCCCGAGTGAGACAGACGGCGGCGATGTCATCACGGGCATGCGGCTTTCCCTCGATTCATGTGGGAGGGTCTCGGTACGGCCGGCGTCCCTCGATCTCGGGTCCTACTCGGACGACTTCCAATACCCACCGTACATGCACTTCCGCAGTTTCGCTCCGAACGCCACCAAGAGAGCCATCGTCCTCGGCCTCATCGCGCGGACCGACGCCTTCACGTACCCCCCGGACGCGAAGGCGGCCGCGCTCGCCGAGCTACTCACGCTCCTCATCACGGCGGCGGAGTTCCCAGCGGCTGTCGTAAAGCGGTGGGCCACGCAGAGCCAGATGAGCGCCCCCAGGCCATGGGTCACGAAGGCATGCGAGCAATGGGAGGCTCGTTCTGCCTGATCTCCCCTTTCCCCCTCCTCCCTCCTCCTTCCCCCCCCTGCCCCTGTCGTTCCGGGTGCGGAGCGCAGGCTTGTTTTGCGGTGTGGCCTATTAGCGGGGTGCCCCCCGTCAAAACTGATGCCTGGGCGCCCGTGCCGCCGCTCTCCTCCCCCTCCTCCTCCCTGCGCCTCCCTCCCTCCTAGGTGTTGTCTGCCGCTGCCCGCTCAGGCCTTTCCCGTTGCATCGGGAATTCAAGGGGGTACGCCGTTGCATCGGGAATTCAAGGGGGTACGCCGTTGCCTCGGGAATTCAAGGGGGTACGCCGATCGATCGTGTTGGTGGTTGGACCAGGGTTTGCCACCAACGGATGCTGAAACGCAACGCCAGGGGACCGACCGGAAACTGGTCCGTCGACGTTGTGAAAAAATTGTGTCCTGGAGGTTCCGGGGTGTGTGGCGTATACACAGTCTCGGAGTCGAAACTGTGTATGCTGGTTTGTGGGCCCCCATTTGCAGGAATCCCGCCTCAGGAGTGAGAGGCATCGCGGGCATCGCGGACGGCATCGACACTCGGAGTGGCCCCCCTCCCTCTCGCCCCTCCCCTCGGCGAGGACCGTCAATAGGCCTCGTCGGTGAGGACCGTCATTAGGCCTCACACCCCTCGCAGCTTCCATCAATGGGGTTGCGAGGGTTCCCGCTCCCACCAGTCAACCTTCCATTTTGCCGTCAATAGGCACCGGAGGGGGCCGAGGACCCCCCTACGGTCCCTCGGCCAACGAAGACGGCCGTAGGGGGGGGTGACCCGTACCTCCATCTCAAGGCATTCGTGCCACCACCTACCATTCCAGGCACCAATTGCCACCCACCACATCTATCCTCCTCCTCCTCCTCCTCCTCCTCCTCCTCCTCCTCCTCCTCCTCCTCCTCCTCCTCCTCCTCATCCTGCTCCTCGGCGTCGGCGTCGGCGTCGGCGCCAGCGCCGGCGCCCGCGTCCGCGTCGCCATCATAATCACCATCATCGGTATCATCGGCCTCCTCCTCATCCTCCTCATCCTCCTCCTCATCATCATCAGCAGTATCAGCATCATCATCATCATCATCAGCAGCAGCATCATCATCATCATCATCAGCAGCAGCATCAGCATCAGCATTATCATCATCATCATCATCATCATCATCATCAGCAGCAGCAGCAGCAGCAGCAGCGTCATCATCATCATCATCATCATCATCATCATCATCATCATCATCATCATCATCATACTCATCACTACCACCACCATCATCAGAGTCGCCTCAAACAGCATTAAAAACAGCATCAATAGCAGCAGCAGCTTCATCATCATCATCATCATCATCATCAGCATCATCAGCAGCATCAGCATCATCATCAGCAGCAGCATCATCACCAGCGGCATCAACTTCATCATCAGCATCACCGTCAGCAGCAACATCATCATCATCATCAGCATCATCTCCATCATCATCAGCAGCATCATCGCCGTCATCAACAGCATCGGCATCAGCATCAGCATCAGCATCGTCATCCTCTTCATCATCAGCATCATCATCATCATCATCAGCGGCATCATCATCGTAATCGGCATCATCAACATCAGCATCACCAGCATCATTATCATCATCGGCAGCATCATCATCATCAGCATCACCATCATCACCGTCATCATCACCGTCATCATCAGTAGCATCATCGGCAGCATCATCATCAGCAGCATCATCGTCATCCTCATCCTCATCTTCATCATCATCATCATCATCAGCAGCAGCATCATCATCGTCATTCAGCATCATCATCGTCAGCATCATCTTCATCAACACCATCCTCATCAGCAGCAGCAGCATCATCATGATTACCGTCATCATCATGATCATCATCATCCTCATCCTCATCATCCTCGTTATAATTCTCAACCTCATCCTGATCCGCACCCTCATCATCCTCATCAGCACCAGCATCAGCATCATCATCAGCAGCAGCATCGTCATCAGCATCATCATCATCAGTCGCAGCAGCATGATCATCGGTGTCATCGTCATCAGTATCGTCATCGTCATCGTTGTTGAGAGCAGCATCATCATCATCAGCATCATCAGAATCAGCAGCATCATCATCATCATCATCATCAGCATCATCATCATCATCAAAATCAGCATCAGCAGTATCACCAGCATCAGCATCGGCATCAGCATCATCAGCAGCATCATCATCAGCAGCAACATCATCATCATCATCAACATCATCAGCATCACAATCATCAGCATCATCATCATCGTCAATATCAGCATCAGCATCAGCATCATCATCATCATCATCATCGTCATCGTCATCAGCATCATCAGCGGCATCAGTATCGTAGTCGGCATCATCAACACCAGCATCATCAAGAACAGCATCAGCAGCAGAATCATCATCAGCATCACTATCATCACCGTCATCATCACCGACATCATCAGCAGCATCATCAGCAGCAGGATCGTCGTCGACGTCGGCGTATTTGTCAGTGTCATCATCAGCATCATCATCGTCGCAATCATCATCATCATCATCATCATCATCATCATCATCATCATCATCATCAGCATCATCATCATCATCATCATCATCAGTCATTCTCATCATCAGCAGCATCAGCATCAGCATCAGCATCAGCATCAGCAACAGCAACAGCAGCATCATCAGCAGCATCAGCAACAGCAGCATAATCATCATCGTCGCAATCATCATCATCATCATCATCATCATCATCACCACCATCATCATCATCATCATCATCATCATCATCAGTCATTATCATCATCAGCAGCATCAGCATCAGCATCAGCATCAGCATCAGCAACAGCAACAGCAGCATCATCAGCAGCATTAGCAACAGCAGCATATTCATCATCAGCAGAAGAAGCATCAGCATCATCATCATCAGCATCAGCATCAGCATCATCATCATCATCATCATCATCATCATCATCATCAACATCATGATTGTCGCTTCCTCCGAGACAGCCGCAAAGAAATGTACGGTTCACTCCTGGGTCCACTCAGGCTGACCCCGAGCTTGGATTGATGGCTGCCCCACTCTGTTCCAGCGCATGCTCCGAAACCTCCCTGATCAGGACAACTCGTCTGGGCTTCTGGACGGGCTGGTAGAGAGAAGAAGAGCTTGAATAAATTGTCTTCCGTGTTTCCATCATCTTAATCATGAGCAGCATCACAAGTAATACCAACCAAGTCATCGTCAGCATCATCATCCCCATCACCATCACCATCATCAACACCATTCACAATAACATCATCATCATCAGCAGCAGCATCATCAGCAGCATCATCATCATCAGCAGCAGCAGCATCCTCGAATTCATCACCATCATCGTCAACACAACCATCATCATCATCGCCACTCTGGCAAGAAAGGGCATGCCGCATCTGCTTGGGAGACTGGAAGAGCGCGGGTCCTTCTCTTCGGCCGGAGCCCCCGAGGGCGTGTGGCCCACCCACTTCCTGGCGGCGGTGGCATGGTGGATCAGGGGGCGCAGGTACAGCAGGCACATACGATAAGAATCTGTGCGACGAGAAAGGTTAAGGCACAGTCTGCCTCGATATGTGAGGGTCCTACAGTTCCACCCGAGCTTCTGTGGGTCCCTGGGGGCATCGGATGACAATAACTTCAATATCCCCGAAATCCGAAATCTCGCGGGGAAGGGAATTTGCAACTGAAACGGAGCCCGTCGGAACATTGGTTGGCGGGATCATGGGATTCATGCATTTCCGTATGCCTAAGGCCTCATGGCTTGGGCAGCTCCCGCTGAGGCGACTGATTGCATCCCAGGCCGGGGCAAGCGTCTCGCAGAGCTCCAATGCGCCCTGCGCGGACACGGGATAGCAAGTACCCTTGCCTATTGCTGAGTTGTGAGCTGCGGCTCCATTTAATAACGCGTCAATGATCACGCGAGTCAGTTCGTCAATTTTACGACGACGAAGCGACCCGTGCTCTGTGCGCCCAGACAGCGGCGGAGGCATTTTCGGGCAAGGCGGAGTGGACGTCGTCGTCGCCGACGCTTTGCGACGCGGTGCTGTTCCCGCGTTTTGGCGTCGACCAGGGCTGAAAAATCCGACGACCCTGTTGGCGTGTGGAAGAGGCTGTTCCGTTTGACTCGTCTTCGTCGACGTCGTCGTCGTCGCCGTCGGACATTCGATTCGAAATTTGCTAGAACATCACGGATGAGGGCGGGCGGTTTTAAAAATGTGGCTCTCGCATTAGCACCGCGCACATCCGTCTTACAAATTGCAAGCACTTCACGGATTGAGGGCAGCTCGACGTTCAAAATGTGGCTCTCGCCTGAGCGCCGCGCACGTTCGGTCTAAATTTACAAGAGTGTCACGGATTCCCAGGGTCAACGTACCAGAAATGGCGTTTTGGAGAGATTCTGGATTGTGAAGGCACAACAGTTGCGTTGATTCGCGGTGTTGAAGTCCCAAGAATGGTGTTCTGGCACGAATCAGGATCGTCAAGACGCAACAGTCAAGCTGATCCGTGGCGTTGGAGTCACAAGGATGGTGTTTTGGCATGCTTCAGGGTCTTCAAACGGTTGTCTCCCAACGAGGCACTTCCCTCAGTGGAAATGGAGGGGGCGATGGAGAGGGAGCTGATTACAACTTCGTTGATGAGTCTTGGGTTTACACTGGTCCTCCTCCTCTTCCTCCCCCTCGTCCTCATCATCATCGTCATGATCATGATCATGATCATCATCATCATCATCATCATCATCATCATCATCATCATCATCATCATCATCATCATCACACTCGTCATCACACTCGTCATCATCATCATCATCAGCAGCATCATCATCAGCATCATCCGCATCCTCATCAACAGCATCATCAGCATCATCAGCATCATCAGCATCAGCATCAGCATTTTCATCCTCATCCTCATCCTCATCAGCATCATCATCAGCAGCATCATCATCAGCATCATCATCAGCATCATCGTCACCATGAACCTGTTCCTCGTCCTCCTCCTCCTCCGCCTCCTCCTCCTCCTACTCATCTTCCTCCTCCATCTCATCATCCTCCTCCTACTCCTCCTCCTCCTTCTCTTCCTCCTCCACCTCCTCCTCTTCCTTCCTCCACCTCCTCCTCCTCCTCCTCCTCCTCCTCCTCCTCCTCCAGACCCTCCATGCACATGTCCTCCCTGGTTCCACCTCTCCCCGTTGGCTCACCGTCACGAGGGTCGGTCCACTGCCTCTGAAGGAAGCCCCACCTCCCAACGGTGGATTGGGCCCTGGGAGCCCCAGAATCCAAGGCAGCGCCTTCAGGGGCGGGGGTGAAGGAGATGCACACGAGGGTCAAGGGGAGAAGGGGCAAAAGGGTGAGGGAGACGGAGCGCCAGTGAAGCTAGCGCAGCCCGGCGGCCGCCACCCCGGGGGATGGGCGGAGGAGCCTGCGAAGCTCCTCCCGGTTGGGGTCCATGAAGCGATGCACCAGCTCGTCGTCGACCTCCTTCCTGGCGGCCTGGTGCTTCTCGACCAGCTCCGCCACAACGTCGCCTGAGCGGGCGACCGGCTCACGAGCCCGGCGCGCAAAGGCCGCACAGGGCAAGAGTGGGAAAACGAGCGGCGGTCGACCGAGCGGGAGGTCGCAAGCCAGGAGAGCTGAGGCCAGCCCAAAGCCAGGCCAAGTGGGGCGGCGGGCGAAGGCAGGTGGGCAAATGTGACGGAGAAGGCAGCAGCCCCACAACTACCCGCTCTCACCCGCCACCCGCCACCCGCACACCACCGCACGCCGCGCACCACCACGGCCAGCGCCAGAGCCACCTCGTCCCCATCGCAGGCTGTGGAGTGGCCCCATTCTGCCTGGTGTCTCACGTAAGCTGGGCCGTCCCTGGCCATTTTGAGGCGGATATTCGAAACTCCCGCCGCTTCCGAAGCTCCCCAGGCCCAGTCACCCCGTCCACTAGGATCCTGCTGTTTAATAACCCTGACCCGCACGATCTAAACAACCGTCCACCATCACGTCTTGGCATGGTCCGCTGCGTTCTACGATGCAGTATGCCATGAGGCGGTCGTAGCAGGGTAGTTTGCGAGGTCGCCGCATTCTAGCCACAGGCGTTGGCTACGCCTGTGTCCAGACCATACAAGCAGCTACTTGGCAGAATCTCCACAACGTAGCGGCTTGCAATTGGAATCGGCAACGCAGCAGTAGTAGCAGTGCTGGGGTGAGAAAAAAGAATTGTCCGCCAGATCCCGCTTTCCTGGGGTGAAAAGGCGTGTGAGACAGTTTGCGGTCCCCCTCCCCCCGTCCCCGAGAGCCCAAAATCAAGTGTAAGGGGGGGAGTCCCCCCCCCGTGGGGGGACTGGGGGGTCCCCCCCCAGGTGGGGGGACGAGCTCGCCAACGCACCTGCGGGGCATCCGGGGCCTCAAAATCCAGCCCCCGTCGCCTCCAAGACGCCCGAGATGTCTTCCAAAACGGCTCAAAACTGTCGCCAACACACCCCGAAGCGCTAAAAAGCACGCGCGATGGCCTCAAGAGGGCTCAAGAAGCCTCCAAGACGCCTCAAGAGGACTCCAAGAGGACCTCTGAGATGTCCGCAAAAGACAGAAATCGTCCCGAAACACATAGGACATGTACATGTTTGGCATATTCGCGTTTGGGGGCCCACCAGCGTAAAAGATAACAAAAGAGGCACCCAAAATCGCTTCAAGACGGCCCAGGAGGCCCCCACAAGACGGCCCCAGAGGGCCCCAAGACGGCCCAAGAGGCGCCCACGACGGCCCAAGAGGCGCCCAAGACGACCCAAGAGGCCCCAAGAGGGGCGCAAGAGGGGATAAAAGAGGCAACTCGAGGAGGCCCCAGACGCCCTCCCCCCACAAAATTGCCTCCAAGACCTCCAACATGCCCCCAGGAGGCCCCCAACAGACCCCCAAGAAGCGCACAGAGGGCCCCAAAAGGTGAACAGGAGCCCCAACAAGGCTCTCAAGGGCCACCTGAGGCCTCCAAGGAGGCCCCCAAGAAGCTCTGCAACTGACCCGGCCTCGGGATGCTCGCGATGCGAAGTGCCACATGTGATGGGCTTGCGCTCGGAAAGCATAAAGTCTATCGAGTTTCGGGGTCGGCGGAATGGCGTAAGCCTGTTGAATCTGAATTGCCGATGTGAGAATGCAAAAGCATGACCGTGCGCCCCCATTTGAATAAGAGCCGCAGCCGTCGCACTCGCATGATTGGTCGAAGCCGTGGAATGCGAAACAAATAGCCGCATGCGCTTATAAGAACCAAAAGCCCTGCCGTTTGCCTGCGTCCATCCCTCTCCTTATCCCTCTCCTCTGACTCCTCCACACTTCTCGTCCTGCTGCAGCGTCTCTTCCCTGTGACTGTGGTGGACCAGCGCAGAAATGATCCGGATCCGCAGACAGAAGCGGCGCGATACAATTACAAAGGGTGATGAGGACTTGCAGACATCACGGAAGATAGCCTGTAGGGCGATAGTGGCGAGAAGGAAGAGGAGGGGTCGCAAGAGCAGCAGACCATCAAAAGCAACAGCTGCACTAGAAACAAGCATGTGAGAGCTATAATTCCCCAACCAGTGGTTGCGCTCAGGGGTTCCCACTGGCGCTACCGAAAACAATTGCATGGGTCTGCCGGGGTTTCGCCTGATGCCCAGTTGGTGGCGCCTCTTGGGCTCCCCGTGCGCGCCCCGTGCCACTGGGTGGTTCTGCCGAGGTCTCGCCCGGTGCCTGGCCGCCCGCGAGAGCCTCGTGGGCGCCCCTGGCGCCGGGTGGGCCTGCCAGGGTTTCGCATGGCGGCCGCCCGTGGGTGCCTCGTGGGCGCCCCGTGGGCGCCCGCAAAGCCTGCACCACAGGCCCTGCACCAGATATCTTGCACCAGGTACCCTGCACCACATGCTCTCATCCACACAGGTTGCACCACCGGCCGTGCACCGCAGGGAGCTTGCACCATACATGTGGCAATACATTTCTTGCGTCACAGATCTCTTACTGCGTAGACTGCACTGCCTAGTTCGCACCACCTACAGTGCATCACACAGCGCGCACCACATAGCCTGCACCGCGTAGCTTTCACCACTTGACTAGAAACATGTGTATTCCACCACACACAGAACACACTGCATAGCTTGCAGCACATGGATGTCACGTTGAGTGTGCAGTAGCCTGATGCTTGAGGCCCACGCTGGCTGAGATTTTAGGATAACACGAAACTGAAGCTAGACTGGGTGGGCGGACACGCACAGCCATCAGAGGTTCTGACATCTTCGAATGCAACGTTTGACGCTATGCTGGTCTGACCGTCCCTCCTCTCCTCCCATCGGCAGAAGCTCTGGAGCTTCAGAACAAAACGACGAAAGCGCAAGCGAGGGGAGAGAGGAGGAAGAGAGAAGGAGAATCAGAGGGGTGCAGGAGGAGCAAGACGAGGGGGAGCCCTCTCTGCAGATCTTCCAATATGTGAGAGAATAGTGGTGAAAGAGTGTTGGCAGGATCCCCGTGTGATAAGGGCCCTAACTCGACACCATACCGAGCATGAGTAAAGGTGCCACAAGCAGCACAGCTACAGTGACTGCACACAGCTTTTGGGCAAACAGTACTTGACCACTGCCCCATCCCAAAGCAAGCAACCCTATTCTCAAAATCAGTCCCAGCGGTGGTGTGATGGACAGTGCGAGAATCATGTACTCGAAACAGGTCGAAGCTGCACATGAACATGTTCTGCGTTTCGCAGAAGAGGGTACCCCCAACGGGGGGACAACCTCGACACGTCGGCGCACCTAGCCAAGAGTCGGAGCGCCTTCGGCGCGCCATGTTGACCTGCCACGGGGGTCGGTGCTGAGCTGTCAGCGGGGGCGGCGAGCCCCTGGCGCCGATCATAGAACTCGGAATATGATTCTGCAGCGGAGGCCGAACCAACTGAGACCGCATGGCCTAGGCGCTTCTTCACCTCTCCCGTCAGCATCTCGCCGCTCGCATAGGCCTTGCCGATTTGTTCGAGCTCCTCGTCGTCATCGAGCCTCCCGTGCCCTGGCTGCACATGCTGTCTAACTTGTGAATGATGTAGGTACGACTGCAGACATGAATACCTATACCCTGATTTATATACATATATACAAAGAGAGGGACATCATGGACCACCCTTCGGGTAATAAGTGGGTTTTGGGGGACGGGTGCGGCCTCAGGTTTGAAGTTGCCTTCGCATCGGGTTGGGGATCTACTCATACGCTAATCGAACCATGTACCTGTCCTGCCCATTAGCGAACTGTATAGCTAAGAATGTCAAATGCAGTAGCAAGCCAGGAAGCCGTCAAAATCGTCCCAAGACGGTCCAAGACGCTGCCGAAAGCGCCCGAAAACAGCCCAATAGATCAAGACGGCCCCAAGACCGGCCAAGAGGCCCCCAAGGCAACCGAATATGGTCCCAAGAGGGCCCGAAGAGGCTCTCGATAGGGGGAACACTAACTGACCTTTCGAGCCTTCCGCCCCAAGAGGCCCAAAGGAGGCCCTAAGAGCCGCAAAAGAAGCCCCAAAGAGGCTCCCAAGTGGCCCAACAGAGTCCAGAGAGCATTCCCAAGACAGCCTCAAGAGGGTAAAACCAATGATTTCACTTGAATTGTTGATGGGTGCTTCGTCGTCGCCGACGTCGTCGTGGTCCCCCTTCAGGGTCGGCGGCGCTGGCCGTGAGGCATTCGCTGTCAATGATCAAATTCTTTACATGTGGATGCCGGGTGATGATCATAACGATGATGATGATGATGATGATGATGATGATGATGATGATGATGATGACGGAGGAGGACGACACGGACGACGACGACGACGACGACGACGACGAAAATGATGGTGAAGATGATGCGGATGAGATGACGACGACGACGCTGCTGTTGCTTCTGATGATGACGGTGCAGATGATACTGATGCTGATGATGCTGATGATGATGGATGGTGATAGTGATGGTGATGGTGATGGTGATGGTGATGATGGTGATGGTGATGGTGATGGTGATGGTGTTGATGATGGTGATGGTGGTGACCATGTGATCATGGTGATGATAGTGATGATAGTGATGATAGTGATGAATGATGGTGATGGTGATGGTGATGGTGATGGTGATGGTGATGGTGATGGTGATGGTGATGGTGATGGTGATGGTGATGGTGATGGTGATGATGATGATGATGATGATGATGATGATGATGATGATGATGATGGGTGCGCTGCTTGTGCTGGCAGCCGAGGGACAAGCCACGCAGCGTTGATGATTAGGCGGTGAGCTGTGATGGGCCGTCTACACAATATGTATACTATCTGCTTCGGTGTGCACTTATACACGTTATCATACGCACCTCGAGAGGGAGTATAACCCAGAGGCGAATATTGCTGAAGCCGTCCCTTTCGCGATTTTTCTGGCCGTTTCTCTCAAGAAATCCTCGTCATTCCGAAAACAGGACGCGCCCCTCACGCAGATCGCGACGTCGAGGTCGAACAAACACAACAGATCTTTCACCGCTTCACATAAAAGCCTTAAAGCCACAATGGAGTTCAATTAATGTTCGCACACGTGCTACTAAGCTCGTGTTCTCAACAGTGCCCTGAGCAGCTTGTCATCACTGCATAAGAAAGCTGAGGAGACACACAAAGGTATTCTGTGATTCTGAACAGAACGATGAATACATGATATGTGTGTGTGGTTCCACGTGTAGTTATCAAACTTTGTTGTTTTATGTCCTCCTTCGTGCCCACAAGGGTGCTTCTAAGCATGTCGTATAATCGCAAGGTGTGGCAACCTCATCGGTGCTCCCCCATTGGTTGTGTGAGCCAGGGCACGCACGCGCCAGTTGTTCATATACATTGTGTATGTATATGTATATGGACGTATCTGTGCATATGCAGATGTATCCTGATTATCTGTCCGTCACCGTACTAATCCAGGGTTGCACATGGACCCCTCTTGAATGCCTTTTGGGGCCGTTCTCAAGCCGTCTTCGGAGCCTGTTGGAACGCCTTGAGGCCCTTTGGGGCTGCCTTGGGGCCATCAGGGCCGTCTTGGGGTCTTGGGGCTGTTGGTAGGCCTTCTGGAAGCATTCTTGGGCTGTCTCGGGTCTATCTTGGCCCGCCGTGCTCCGCCCGCCTTCCGCCCGCTTCCGCCGACGCTCCCGCCGCCGCTGTACTTCCGCTGCCATCCACCAGCCATCAGCCGCCTTCCATTCCACCGGGGGCGCGAGGCGGCGCCGAGGGCGAGACCCTTCCTGGAGCGCCCCGGCTGCGCCGCCGCGACCGCGGCAGGCGCGGCCAGGGCCCGTTGCTGCCAGCGGGGGACCGGATCGCGGGGGGCCAGCGCCACACGAGGCGCTGCGCGACGCACAGTGACGGTAGGCAGCGGCGAGAGGGAGGGCCAGGGGCATGGCCGAGGGCACGCCGCGGCGGTTTCCCGAGGACGGGCGGCGCGCATGTACGGCCCCGCGCTGCGGGTGAGCAGTTCTCATGTGTTGTTTATGTGTTTCTTCCCTCTCTCTCTCTCTCTCTCTTTCTTTCTCTCTCTCTCTCTCTCTCTCTGTCTCTCTCTCTCTCTCTCTTTCTCTAGAGAGAAGTGAGAGTGGGACGAAGAGAGGGGGAGAGCGAGAGAAAGAGAGAGAGAGAGAGACAGAGAAAGCAAGCAGTCCGAGAGGGAGAGAGAGAATAGACAGACGGGCCGGCTGCCGAGCGAGCAGCGGCAGGAGCCGAGACGGCGGAAGAGACAACAAGCGCGCCGAAGGTCGCGCTTCGCGCTGCGCGAAGCGCGAGGAGTGAATAACCTCGCGCCCTCGCGCCGCCCCCACGGGAGAGGGAGAGGGAGGAGGAGGAGGCGCAGGCGGAGCAGAGCCGCGAAGCGCGAATGCCGTCGTGCCCTCGTCCGCGCCCCTGGAGAGCGGTGCAGCCGCCAGACCGCCCTGCCACCGTACCCACGAGGGCAGCGGCGAGAGGTCCGGCTCGCCAGAGCGGGTGCCAGAGCTGGGCCATCCCCCGCGGCAGCGAGGCAGCAGACAGTCACCGCGCATGTGCAGTCGAGGCACGCGCCGCCCCTCCCAGCCAGATCTTGAGGTACTGGTAGGGCACGTCCACGTCAAGGTTCGCGCCATACTTCTGCTGCTCCTGCCCGCCACCGTGTTTCGCTCCAACCTCGCCTCGCCTCTCGGAGGCAACAAAATGTCTGCACTGCGTTTTTCCCCACAGCGACTGGACCACGAAACATCTGAACGTATAGGATATATACATACATGTGTATTCCGACCGCTGGCTGACGTCAGCAAATGCTTGCATTGCGGTCTTCCACCCTTCACGTGGCAATCACCAAGGCAAGCCCGACGCCGATGTTGGCCAGTAGTCATCGAACCTGACTGTTGAGGATTCGTGTGCGAGCTGCGACCGACGCCCGCTCCACGCAGTGCCTTTCTCAAGCGGCATGGACAAACCGACACACTTCGTAGCATTGCGCCTACGCTACTGCTGTGAGCATAATTTCACTTGCTAGAACCAGTGATGCAACACCGAAGCTCAGCATTACTCATCACGTCGTAACATCGCATTGACTGGTACTCAGTCGCACGTCAGTCACAGACTATAGAAAGCACGCACTCCCCGTTGCCAGTGCGGGTCGAGCCACAGAATGTCGCACACGAAGTCTAACGCAGGCTGACTGACACGAACATCTGCATCAACCTGAACTCTTTCCAACATGGGCTAGCCGGTCATAATCGTGCTAAGGCCCTTCGCCCGTCTCTTAAGAGCGACTGGCTCAGATCAGATTCAGCCTCCGTGCGCTCTAGAACTCCGTCGCAGAGCGCTGACTTTCACAATAGCGACAGGTTATCAGTCTTTTCAGCGGCGGCTGCTCTATGGCGAACTTGTTTAACGAAGAACCCATCGTCTTCGTCCTCCCAACTCGCGGCCCGCCCTCCAACATGTCCGACTCCAGAAACCCTGAATCCACAAGAATTGGCATCGCTTGTGGATCGAATTTTACTTCCGCCAACATACACCAACCTTCCACCGGCTTCAGCCAGCGCACCCTTCGCTGGTTCGCTTCTGCCACATTCCGCCAGCCGCCCGCCGCCGTTCGCAGAGAAATAAGGGCCTCCTCTCGATCCCCCGGAGGCGAGGCCCTTTCTGCAGCGCCCCACATGCCGCCAGCATCCCCGCGTGAAAGCCGCGTCCTCGAGAGTCGCGCCACCACCAGAGAAGGCGTACTTATTAATTTTTTTTCTGATCTGCTTCGGGGTGTCTGTCATGTAGAGGGCAGTGGACTCCACCGACGCAGACATCTTGGTCTGATGCCCCTGGGGTGATGCGGAAACGTCACAGCCATTGCCGCACGACAGAAGGAGAACTCGAGAAACACTAGAGGCTGCTGGGACATGTAAGCATGATCACAACGATGTCTCCTGGGGGCCACACCTCGGACGATAACACTGACTTCACGGGGGCAGAGGGCTCGATCTGGCGCGCGAGTAGGAAAATTTGGTTGGAGACGTGACGCGGGAGGCCGCAATGTTATCCTGTTCCCCGATCACCCCTTCTCACCAGCAAGGGCAATCGGCGCAAACTCTGCTGGCAGGGCTCGACGCAAAGCCAGCGAATGCGCACACAAATCATGCAACCAGGCAAGCACAACGAGGAGGCCAAGCGCTGGTAGCTAGCGCACCTAGCCGCCCGACATCATCCCCGACTTCGATGAAGCACCACTCATCTAACATCTGGGATCGAGCGTCTCGAAGCAGGCGCCTGAAGTGCGGGCAAGAACTTGGAGTGGATCAACGCGGGCTTCGGCCATTTCATCCTGTCTGCCACGCCGCGGCACAACCTACCCTTCCATGTTGCTCTTCCTCCACGCTTCCTGACCATGCCCGGCAAGACAACCCTTGTTGCTGATTGCTCTGCTGACCTGGAGACTCCACTGCGCGATCGGCTCATAGGTGGAACTTGACGGCTGGACTGAACAGGAAAGGTAAGATCCCAAGACAGATGATGCCATGCTGCCAACGCGCTGCTATAGCCGAGCCAAGATCAGATGTGCTTCCACTCTACCACATTCCCCAAACAGTGCTTGCACTTGGGCGCTCTCACTGAGTTCCAAGTCGCTGGCCTGCGGTTCCAGGTTCGTCTTGGGTGGTCCCCCCTTGGCCGCCTAGTGAGCGCCTCGTTCAATGGCTGGCGGTTCCGGGCTCTCCGCCCACGGGCCGCCCGCGGGCGCCTCGCGGGCACCTCGCTCGCTGGTTGGCAGTCCCGAGGTGTTCGCCCTTGGCCGTCCGTGGCCGCCCGTGGGCGCCTCGTGCCTCGTGCCCCGGCCAGGACCTTCCCCCGGTGGCCGCCCGTGGGCGCCCCATGGGCGCCCCGTGGGCGCCCCCATGCGCTGGCTGGCGGCGTCGGGCTTGTCGCCTGGTCGCCGCCCGGGGCTGCCCGCGAGTGCCGTGTGGGCGCCTCGTGAGCTGGCCGGGCAGAGCTTTTGCACCACACGGACTGCGCCACGCGTGGCTCGCGCCACGTGGCTCGCGCCCCGCAGATGACACGGCAGCGCTTCCAGCACGTGGCTTCCACCGCAGAGCTTGCACCACATGGACTGCACCACACAGCTTGCACCACACATCGCTTGCACATCCAGAGCACAACTCACAGTTTGGGTCCACTCTGGCAAGCATGTGTAATTCCCTCCCTCCCGTGACCGGAAGTATGGGTCTTGATCGATGGCTTGAGGGATGAAGCAGCGTGTCCCAGGCTTCAGGAAGCTCGGGAAGGACTGGGCGAAGGACGGAGAAGATTGTATCGCAGCAAACGCAAACTTGCCGATATTGTCTGACTTCTGGAAGCCGAACGCGCCCATTGCCTGGCTCAGCGTGATGCGCTTCTGTATCTCCAGTGCCACCGGGTACAGCTCCCTGATGTAATCCGTGTCCCGGAAAATGAACGTTTTCGAAGGGTCAAAGCCGCAAGCGATGATGTCTTTGGCGTTCTCAAACCCCAGCCGCCTGCATTCCTCAAGACCCAGCTCAGGCTTGAACAGAAACTTCTCGTCGTCCTCCCATGGCGCTTCATCACCCTCGCCCTGCGTGGTCCTTGCTTCACCCCGACCACAGGCGCGCCAACTACATCCACCTGCACCGGCCCTGGCCAAGCACATCCTGAGCCCCCGGATCGGCCTGGCAAGGATCGGCACAAGTGATCGATCGGTTGGCGTCCAACGGTCGTTAGAGCCGCCCTTCCAGCACCCCTCTCGGGCGCACGCCTGAGATGGAACCGAACGTATTCTGCCACATCGTGCCCCCGAGCCCCGCAAGAATGCACAAGACCGCGATGCCCCCGACCCAGGTGTCCTTTGGCAGACCGCCCTTACCGGCCCTACCTCAATGATACGACCAAGGGTTCAAAAAACAAGTCGACCAGGAACGATACGATCTAGGAGTACAAAGAATAACAGTCACAATCGATAGCCAATAATCAATAATCAATCATCAATAACCAATAATCAGCCGTGAAGAATCAATACTCAACCAATTATGACAATGTGAACTATGACGATAATAACAGCAATGCTAAGTATAAAGACGATGATGCTAGTAATAGTAATAGTAATAGTAATAGTAATAGCAATAGTAATAGTAATAGTAATAGTAATAGTAATAGTAATAGTAATAGTGATAGTAATAGTAATAGTAATAGTAATAGTAATAGTAATAGTGATAGTGATAGTGATAGTAATAGTAATAATAATAGTAATAGTAATAGTAACAGTAATAGTAATAGTAATAGCAATAGCAATAGTAATAGTAATAGTAATAGTAATAGTAATAGTAATAGTAATAGTAATAGTAATAGTAGTAGTATAGTAATAGTAATAGTAATAGTAATAGTAATAGTAATAGTAATAGTAATAGTAATAGTAATAGTAATAGTAATAGTAATAGTAATAGTAATAGTAATAGTAATAGTAATAGTAATAGTAACAGTAATAGTAATAGTAATAGTAATAGTAGTAAGAATGGTAATAGTAATAGTAATAGTATTAGTAGTAAGAATAATAATAGTAATAGTAATAGTATTAGTAATAGTAATAGTAATAGTAATA